AGGAAAATCAAACATTGAAATTGGTTTTGTTTAACTACAATTGCTTCACTCGTTTGCTTTGCATTAATTTGGTATCAAAGTCAAATTTCATTCTTGTAATCATATTTAAACCTAGTCACCCATATCCATTCCTTACTATTACCCTTCTCACTCTGGCTTGTCATTTAAAAAGTTAAGAAGATTTAACCTGTAAGTTGGCATAGAATATACTTTTGAGTCACATCAAAACATATAACATTGCATGTGGAATTACAAATTATTCTTATCCTCGTTCGCATCGACAATATAAATCTGTTGACATATATTTCATCAAGCTTATAAATGTAAAGTACATGACATTATTATGGTTTGTTCCATGTGATTATAAGCCCATACATCTTTTATTACAATATGTGGCATCAATATTAATATGTTCTATGATGGCTGGTTAAATATTAACTAATGTTACTAGATAAAGTAAATGGAGAACGGGGAAACATATAATTATAATCCATATAATTCCCACGAGTATGCATATTATCATAACATTTTTTCTTACCAAAATAACTGTGAGTCATATTACAGTAGATCTCATAATTATGATTTATAATAGAATTTTGGTTGTCATTTTAATCATGGGCAATCTCACAAATATTTTTAAATCATCTTCAAGCCGCTTTAATGTTAATGCATCTAATCGTTGTCAGTATTCCTATTAGGATTGTCTTATGATGAATATGAATATTATCTTTAGGATAAATTTTATAATGATGATACATATAATATTCTTGTATTTTTCTATTAAAAATCATCTTGTCTAGATGAATGATCATCTTATAAATCAGTTTCTTGAATTTCAAAGGTTTATTAATTATGTTAATTCTTTAAGTTCAAGCACATCTATTATCTCTTCTTATTCCAAAGCCCGATCTTCATGATGAGGAGGTATACAAGAATATTATTTGAATAATCGACAAGTTGTAAATTAATAAGATGATGATGATCAATCACTAATAATCAAGCCTCTTGCAGAGTTTAAACTTTGTCTAAGCCTAAATTAATGATTGTGCTCGCACTTCTTACCGATTGA